ACTAAAGTAGTAATAACTAAATAATTAAAATTATATTAAAAAACTATAAAATTTTGTATATAACAAATATGTTAAAGACTTTAATGAATCTATAAAAAAAAAAGCCTAACAAGATTCTGTTTTAATTATAACATATTTATTACAAGCATTACAAAAACTAAAATCTCAAAAAAACTAACTTATTTTTTGCATCAATGATATTTTTATTTGTTTAATTTTTCTGCTTCTCTAAAAGATACTGCTATTATAATTCAAAATTATCTTAAATCTTATATTTATAATGTTTATGTTCATTTTGAAGGTATTATATAACTTGATATTTTTTTTGAAATAATATTATGCTTTATATTATCTTAGTATATCTATTATTTATTAATATTTCTATCTGTAATCAAACTTAAAATATAGCAATTAGCTAAATTTAACAAGTTTTTCAACTTTAAATTTATTATATTATTCTTAATAATTTTAATATGCTAAATAATATTTATAGATCTTTTTCTAAATACAAACTTTTAATGTTTTTTAATAATTTTAATATGTATAATATTGAAGTCTATTTTAAAAACAAATATTTTACTTGATACAATAATAGTAGTAATCATATTAAAGGATATAAAGTCTGCAGAATATATTCTGAAATTATAAGTAATTTTAGCTAAGTAAATTAAACTAAAATAATAATATGCTCTCAGAAAATTAGTAAGTAAGATTGTGTTAGATATCATTATAACAGTATAATGAGTAAGAAGTAGAATAAGTAAGAAGCAGCATTAGCTGGTGGTTTGTTATGTGCTTGAAGCAGACCAGCTGTTAAATAAGAAAATGACAGAATCAAGAAACTGTTTCAATATTTTAGATATTAGGATTCTGTTATTGTCTTATATCAGTTTGTGTTATCTAGTATGTGTTGTATTATATGCATTATAGTTGAATCTGTTGTAGTTGATATGTCAATGCTGTATCTTCAGTTATATAGATTTTTTATTTCTTTTTTTTTACTTTATACAGCTGATAATGAATAGTTAGTATTGTTAAAATTACAAGTGTTATTATTACCAATATGCATTGTACTAGATATTGCATTATTGCATAGTTATGTTTTTGATTATTAAACTTGATTTTGATCTGTCATATTACATTTCTGTATTATTATCTTTCTTATTATTAGGTAGTTTTTTTTTTCTTTTTTTTTTTGTAATTGAGATGTTTAAATGCTATTAATAAGTGATAACTTGAAAACAGTTCAATTACTATATGTTTTTATTAATATAGCTACTATTGTAGCTGGATGGGCACATATATATCTGTAAAATATATCTGAGCTTCATCTACCTATTTTTTGGACCATTACAAGTTGAACTCTTTGCATAACTAGTTCTGTTGTTTTTTTTGCCCTGAAACTGTAACCAGCAATATCTTCTGATGATAAAATCTGTTTGAGTTTGCTGATGAAAAGTTGTTTTGTTGCCTATATTCTATTAGCTCTAACTAATAGCAAATCTGAATAGTTAAGCATAGAAGCTGATCTTTGCATTGTATATGCTTGCAGAGCTTCTACTGAGCATAAATCATTATATATTGGATCAATTATGATAGATGTATACTTAGCTGTCTTGTGATTTTTGGTGCATGCTAAATGAATAGTAGTGAAAGTATAATGATTGATTTCTTCAAATTTTAATGCCCCAAAGGTTGGTATTTTGTTTTGATCATATTGTGTTGTTGGGAAAAGTTCTTCTAACTGTATTAGACTGTAAAATGCTATTGTTGCAATTGTCCAGAATATCTTGCCATTTCATTTATTCAAATTTAGATTGTTTTTCAATGTCAGCAGATGGTCATATGTTATATAAGATTTTTGGTTTACCAATTTGTGCATATAATTCTTGTCAATAGTTTTTAACAACTTTGTTACCAGAGGGTCATTATGTGTTTCTATTTATTTGAAATAGTTCATTTTGTGTTGATGTTTTAGAGTTAATAAGTATGATAAAAGAGTTAAAGGTGCAACTCTGTTGTACATATGGATTATAAATTTAATAAGATTATCTTTGGTAATAGACCAAATCTTTTTATATAAATTAACATATTAGTTTTTAAGTGCAATTGTTTTGTATTGTTTTACTGCTAACTTATATGTTTTGTTAGTTCTTAATTCTATGCTGAGTATAAGCATAGCTTGTGATCAAGTAGTTGTGTTGGGTTTGATAATCTGGTTGCTTGTCTATTGGTTTGTTCATTTGGTCTGTTATTAGTAAGATAGTATCTGTTGTATACATCTGTCAAAATAATAAGAAAATAATTAATATAAGTTTAGTATATCTATATGGAATTACAGGTTGTAAATAATATAATGTTGGAGTTTTGTCTAAAAATTCTTTGTAGCCATTTTATTATAGTAGGTCTGTCTTTATATTAATCTTTTCTGATATGTATTCTATTTTAATTGAGAAATTTCTATGTATCTGAGTTTGGTATATCTCTGCTACTATTTTATTAATTATTGTATATTTGCAATAACCTGAATAGACAGTCTTTAGATTGTCTAGTTGTCTAACCAGATAATAAATTGTTTTTAGGTCCATATTGGAAAGAAAGTTAATATTGCAATTAGCATTATTAGAAGTTCACATTCTTAAATATTATACTGAGACAAATCCATCTCTCTAAATCAGTTAAAAACAGTGAAATAAGACTTAAATATTGCCTTACTACCAAGATTGGATGTGTTTTTAAAATATTTTGTGTGGCTGAACTGAACCATTATTAGTTTTCTATAAAGTGTACTCTAGATCATTTTTGTAGTATTGCAATCTATTATCTGATATCTGATTTCATAGAACCATTTAACTTTATATATGATTTGGGATTGTTTGTTGTACTTAGAGCTTTAATAAGTTATTGTATAAATGGTTGTTCTTGTAAAAGGACTTGACATGTCCATATTAGTGACCTGATTAAGGATTGTAATTCTTTTCTAAAACACTAATATTTGTTTTCTTATTGTTTTAGTATACTAACTAGTTTGAATTTTTTATTGTTAGAAATTGTAGTTGTAAATAGTTCTGTATTAAGATGAATGTTTAGAAAAATAATAGAAATGTTTGGGCCCTCAAGCTTTGATAGTTTGTATGATATATTTAGAATACTAAGTATATAAAGAAATTAATTTAATTTATTTTGTACATTTGTTCTTGATATAATCAAAAAGTCATCAATATAATGAATTATTGATTTTATTTCTTGTTGTATTGCAATCCATATAATAACATCAGTGAATCTGCAAAACATTCTACCTAATATTTAATTTTCAAAGGCTAATGTTTTGTCAAAGTATATTTATTTTCAAATGCAATCTCTTGAAGTACCTGATCTACAGAATGTACAGATAAAATTCTATATACATCTTTTATATCAATCTTGGATAGAAAACATTCTTATCCATAGTGTATAATCTATTTGATTGCATAACTTAATTTTTATATTATGTACTAAATGTAATTCTGTTTATGCTGTCATTTATACTTGTTTCAAATAGAGCAGACAAATGTGATATTACATAATATTTCTTTAAGTTTGTATCTTTTTTTTCTAATAAACTACAAGAATTTATTTAAAAAAATTGACATGATAACTGATATTTCAAAAAAGAACTATACATTCATCCTTGTATAAGTTCATTCTAAATATATTTTTTAAATAATAAAGAATTAATTTCTATTGTCTTTAAGTTTTCTTGAATTAACTTAATTCTTTAACCTGAAAAATTAAATCTAAACCTATTTTCAAGTCTATTAAGTAAATAAGATATAAACAATTGATTAAGATAATTTGTTGTAAGATATTTAAACATATCATATTTAATTGAAATAACAATATTAAACATACTAAGATCAAGTTGTTTGCAAATATTACTCTTAAAGACTATTAAAAGTATGTTGTATAGAGGAACAACTATAAGTATATATTTAATTAACTAAAGAATAGAGATCTCAGATATTGTAATGCCTTAGACTACTTTATATTATACAAAATGTCTTATTTGTATTGCTTTTCTAAATTTGTTGAATTCATAATTAATAAAAATAGTGAGTGAATATAGATTTACTTAATATTAAACTTTTATTTATTATTCAAATACATAAATAATTAATAATACTAATAATATAATAGTATTATTGCTATAGTATATTGTATTTGTTTTAGTTATACATTAAAGATAAAACTCTTTAAAGCCATGTTGCACATATATCTGTTACTATAATCATTATTTATACTTTTTTTTTTTTTGTAGTTATCTATTTCTTTATATGAAGTTTGTTAAAATGAATCAACTTATTGCTATGTGTTTTTATTTGTTTTGATAATATTAAGTAGATTATTCTTTTATAGATTATTTTTTTTAAAACATTTTTGCTTACTATGGTTGGTTTTCTTGCAGATCAAACATGCATGAATCCTTCCATATGTTTTTTCATCTGCACAGTAACATTTATTCCAGTTAATACATATCTCTTTGTCATTATTCCATTTTATATCATAATATATAGTCTAATTTGTAGTGTATTTGTACTTTTTTACTATTATTATGTTAAAATTTCTAGTTTCAACTTCAATATCTCAGTCAAAGAATGTCAAATTCCAGTTTGTAACTAGTGTTACTTTATGATCTTCATTATAGGACATTATAGCATAAAAATTCTATTTAAGACATAACTCATTAATATGGTCTCTGTATATGTTCTTATTACTATAAATTATAAGAATAGTATTCATATATGTTTTGAAAGTCAACAGCCATTCTGAAATGTCCATGAATACTGTATAATGTAATTGTCTTTTTATTGAAATTGTACCTCTTTCAACTAGGTTCATCTTCTAATTCTTTAATACTAAATAACAAGTTTTTGTATATAAAATCTTGAAAATTTATATATGTGTCAGAGGCAATTGCTTTCTATAGTCTAGGTGAAATATTAGGTTTGAAAGACAATGTTTCAATCATCTTCTGACCCTTTAACCAGTTCATAATCCATCAAATACATATACTTACTTTCTGTTTTAGCTACTTGAGTATTGGAAAACCCATGGATTTCTTGAATATATTTGAACTTTGTGTAATCAAAAGATAGATATTTTCATGACATTAATCTGACTAAGTGCAGGTTTGTAGATGCTATATATGTGTTTTGGCCTTGAAGAGTAACCTTGGACATCCTCATAATAAGGTCATTTAATACTAGTGTTGAGAATATTTACCTGTCAGCTGTTCAGTTTCTTTCCCTTTATTTTTCTGTGCATTGTCAGCTAGGTTGACCTGTTTTTGTGACTGTCATGGTAATGTTGTATCCTCTGTTGGCATTATGTCACTACTGGCTCTATGGTGTTGATGTCATTACTGGTTTGATTATTGGTTTGAGTCATCTGGGCTAACATATTGTTGATGTTTAATTGAAGCTGCTCATTTCATGTTTTTTGTCTATCGAATTGGGAATCAATATACTGCTTGATAGATCCGATGACTGATGTGATGGATGAGTGGATTGACTCATCAATATATGCTTTTACTAATGGGTCAATGTGTACCTCGGGCCTGGGGTTGTTTAGTGTTGTGACGGGTGCAGATGTATTTGGGGCTGGTTGGGTAGCCGTGCGCAGTTCCTTGTTGTGATCACGTGGTTTTGGCTCCGTGTTACTCATGGTTCGATTCTTCGAGAAATTGTTTGACGAGATGGGAAAGTGTGTCGACGCATCTTGTTTTTTGGTTATTTATATATCGATTGTGGTAGGTGGCTTTTCTATTACGTGTACTCTGGTTGCGTGTTGATTCATGCAATTTTTACTGATTGATCCGTTCTTTGATGCCGACCCATGCCCTCTGCCCGTGATCTAAGTGCGGGGTTATAGCACGTGGTGTGTGACCACCCTGACCAGTTCTTCCCTTTCTTTTCGATCCGTTGACTCTTGTCAACATGCATTTTTATAATACACTTTTTTATATAATATTATATATTTCGCTTATCAAAATTTATTGGTCATGTAAAATATTACATGAAAATTCTGAATTTAAATTTGACTCGAGTTATTTTAAAAATGACGCGGAACATGTATAAATTATTCGGCAAAAATTTTGAACAACGGTAATTTGGTTCAACCGGGCAAATGGGACGTCGTCAATCAAAAGTCCCAAAACACAATTAATAATTTTTAGAAAATGTTACACTAAATTATTACACGAAATTATAAAAAGATTCTGACATATCTAATTGTAACATGGGATGTCGTTAATTATTAATGCTACGTACGTACGTATACTTACGCAAGTTGTTACAAATAACGTGCTACAATTAGACGTTAAAAAATTATTAATTGCACTTTGGGACGTTTTGATTGACGACGCCCCAAATGAACACATGCCGAGAAGCCAATCATTTGCTAAATAGTAAATCTACGGATACCTACCAGCTCACATGATTTTTCACCTAAGTTAGGGTAGGTGGAACTAGTAGGTGTCCGTAGACTTATCCGACAATTTACGATTATAATTGGTAGGGAGTTATCGGCTGAGTTTTAATTCAAGTAAACGTACTTATTTCGTAACACATGAAAAAAAATAACAGATAAATTCATAATCATAAGGGTTTATCCGATAATAAATAGAGTATTTCTGTTTTTACACTAATGTATGAAAGTCAGCTACGTATAAAAATTTAATTTAAAATTTTACTAACAAAATAAATTTACCTGAAATTTTAGTACGTATAAGCTATTACCTAACCTAAACCCTAAACCATAATGATTTCCTTAACGTCAACTTTAATTTTGTTTTCTTTGTGTTACACTGATTTACCAATACCAGGAATGTAGTAATGTAATGCGGTAATGTATGGTTCACTTTACAACACAATGCAATGTATACAACAATCTAATATCGATATACATAATCATACGCTTGCCGGTTTAAGGAATAAAATTCATATGAATAAATTACTTTAGTAGGTAAGATCTGTTATAAATATATTATCCGGAATGTATTGTATCACAGCAAATGTGAAATATCTCTGTTCAGCTTTTTCAGAGTTGCCTATTCTCACATAACAAAATAGATTATACTGTAGATTTAGTGAAGTTTACAGAACATATCATCGTATCCAATGTTATCAAACTGGGATTCACCGAAGAAACATATTATATAGTAGGTATTTACATACTGCACAAAATGTACAAAATGTACAAAATGTACAGTAATGCACCAAGCCCGATTCATGATAGATAGTTAACATGCCAAACATAGTGAATTTAGTGAACATAGTAATTATGTATTTACGTTCTTACTGTTTTTTCTGAAATAGTTTTGGACGTCCAAATAGTTTTGAGTAACATTACTATGAACACGATACATTTATATTATCTGTAAGTTTACTATAATAGTGCTAGCAAAGTAACTCAAGTAATCTTGGCAGTGATTACGTCATCTGCCAAATAACTTGATTATTTGGCAGCTAACATAATCACTAACAAAGACTTGAGTATTTAGCAAACACAATCGTTGCATACCACCATTATTGTATGCTACACAATCAGATAATGCATTATTGTCTCAGAAACGTATTGGATGGTTCAATTCGAGTTTTGCGTCCGTACACAAAATTTTGATTCTGATTGGATGTAATAATCGAATGATGGGTCGGTTATGATCTACTCAAAAAATTTCCTCTAAACGTGACTTAATCCTAACCCTAAAGATTTCATTACACCTGATCTTTCGACTAATTGGATAAAATCACGAGGTGGGTTTTTTGTGGAAGAGCCATCATACTTCATAAATTATATTCTTGGTACGTACGTACTGTACCTATATAACCCATTAGCTCTAACTAAATCAAAAAGGTATCCCTAAACGTCCCTCCGCTTTAGCCATCCCCTTTCTTTTTTTTTGTTATTGCTTGGTTATGTTCTATATTCCGATTGGTTTATTTGATAATCATGTTCTGCTATATTTTCTTTAGATTAAACGGATAGACGATGCTACCGTGCCACGGGGAAAACTTGAGAGAATTCGTAAACCAATTTCCCGTTAATTGATATGTTTTATCTCTGATGGCAGGATAATTCTTATTTTCTAATAAATAAACTATTCATTTAGTAAAAGTGAATTAATATACAGTTAAAAGTTAGATATTGTAGTTTAAACCAAGTTTCGGTAGCTGGTTATTGAACCTGAATTAGGATCAATTGAACCAGAGTCAGCTATTTTAAAATTCGGTAAAGTTTTCACATCGCTTATTTCAGCTCCAGCCAATTAAAAGTAGCTATTATATTTTAAGATTCGAAGTATTCAAAACGTTGAACTTAATTTAGATTTAATTCTGGTTATTTGTATCTGGGTTAAACGGAAACTGGGCATTCCTAAATTTAATATCATAAGGCTTAAATGCTTTCACTTCACTCCCCTCAGATCCTGCCAATAAATCTTTAAATTAAGCTACTTAGGCACATTGACATTTACTTTATCTCTTGTTCAGGTTAAATTTATTTGCGGGATCAAAAATCAGATTTAGTGCGACAGCGTCACACAGCTACCTTATATAAATAATTCCCATTATTGGCTAACAGGATGTTACACGACTGATCCTTCATGCTGTGTGTGCAATATATAAAAAATTTTTTTTCTGTTCGATTGGTATAAAGTCACAATCGAGAATAAATTTGAAGATAATAGTAAATGGTTGGAAGGTCAACTTGAAGAATCAATGGCAAGGATTGAAAAAAGTGTGACAAAGAGTTTAAACAGTGTTGCATATAGTAGTATTATATGAATAATTCAAGTTCTAATCTGAAAAGTTTGATTAACTATTATACATATGAGTATAATAAACGCTTATTATCATACGTTACACCAGTACTAAATTTATTAACCTATTATACTATTTTACATAGGATTTTCTAAAATCCTAAACTTATAAAAGGTAAGAAATATTTAGATAATATAATGTTTGAATAATTAATTTTATCAATATAGATTTACAGAATGTAGAAGATATCTATGGTAACTTGTAATAAGGTTGCTGGTGAATTTTTAGTTTAGTTTGTGAAAATAATAATTATTAATTAAGATACAGTCAGACCTCTCTAAAGTCAACTTGTTATAAGCACATCATATAAAAAATAAGCACATTTTTTAAAAACCAATTATATATAAACATTAAAAAACCTCTTTATAAGCACATATTAGTAAAAATCTTCTTATAAACACACAACTATTTATTCTAAGGGGTGTGATTATAGAGAGGTTTGCTTGTAATTGTTATTTTTTTTTTTGTTCACTAGTTTGATAGGCTATTAAGAATGCTAGTTATTAATTTAAATCTTGATTAAAAACTTTTTTCTACCAAATTCATATACCAAGTAAATCCCTATATTTTAATGATTTGATACTATTCGAATCGGTTAAACATGATTTAATAATACTCAAAATTAGGTTCAACGTCTGGATACTGAATCGTGGTTTAAAAATAACCGCCGACTCTAAATAAGTTATATTAACCGACTTTGATGAAATATTTTTGATAAAGAATAGTTTATCTGTTAAAAATACCTGTATCAAACATTATTATAAAGTATTCTCGTATCATTGGCCAATATAGTATATTAAATTGTTATGCGATTTTTTAACTTAAGTGCAAAATCGTGTAAGAACCTATATACCTGAAGAATAACGCCTTCGTTGCCTACATTGATATCGAACTATATCCAATTAGTAACAATTTGACTCATTGGAAAGGAATATCAGAAACTTTCACTCACATGTAGTTTTTTATGTCCTGCTTGAGAAATGACAATTTATAAGCCACAAAGCTTAAAGCTACCATACAACTGGCCTTATAAAAATAAATATAAAGATAATCACTATAAATATAATTTCTTGTTAAAATAATATATTTTAAATACATTTAGCACGCCCTTGTTTATAATCTGGGTCTGGTCCAAGTTTTTTAAAATTATGCAATCGGTTTATTAACACCCATGTTATAATAATATTGTTTAAAGAATGACTTAATAATGGTTCTATTTATTATAACAAGGAATAGTAAGAACTACCAACGGCAAAAAAATTTTTAATCGAGTATACGCATATACCCAAAAAAGGTTCGAAAATCACATGATATCATCAATTCATGATATCAACATAATTGATTTAGTAAGTGATTTTTTTTTCTTCGAAATTTCTATTGACAATAAACGAAAAAAGAATGAAAATCAAAATAAATTATTAAAATTAATCAAGATTTAATTTTTAATGCGCTTCTGAAAGATTATAACTCTGATTATTGTTTTAATCGGACACAGCAACAAAAAATTATAGAAGAAACGAATGGAATAAATGGTTCAGTGTATTAATAAAAACTTATGCTATTGCATAAATTGGATGATTATAATCATTTTTATAGGCAATAGAATATTCGAAATACTTTGAAAAACTGTAATTATAATACTTTCTGGCTATAATAAATAATACGTTTATTGAGTTATTCGAAATAAATAAAATGAATTTATTACTTATCATTTAAATTTTTTTGTTAAGTTACATGAACTTTAGTACTCGATATATTTGTCACGTGACATTCGAAACTTTTTTGGGTGGCGATTTTACCCCGTCTTATGTTAATGTTAATGCAGGCCGGATGATATTTAATGTAGGCCAGATGATATGCTAATGCAGGCCAAATAATCTCATTAAAAATGCCGCGCGGATCCAAAAAAAAAAAAAAAATCCACGCATCCCGCGTGTGGCCCATCACTAATCGCGAGTAATAGTAATTTATAAAATTTAAATACTATTTAATATAATTCTAAGTTGTAAGACCCAATAATTAGAGCCAATATCGCCGTTTTTCTGGCTTATTATAAGTATTTTCGTCGTATTAACAATTTAGCTATTTTCATGTTCTATCAGATGAATAAATTTTATTCATCAGATCTGCGAAAATAACGCTTATAAACGTTATATTGCACAAATAAGATAACCAGATCCAACGGATTGAAAAAAACTGTCGGATATCAACGAGTCCAAGCACTACCAATTAGGTTAAATAATTATAATGATAATGCTGCAATGTTTATTACCAGTGTGCGGGTTAATTAGTGACTTACGCCACCAAAGAACTTAATTCCATTTTTAACTTTCTAATTCCTGAATTCCACATTGACTTTCAAATTACCATAACAAGTTACTGATTTTCTTATTACCCGATCCGATCATAAATGATCATCACGTGGTCACAAACTAATCGAATGCTTCTTGTAATCTAAGTATACATACATATATATATGTTTTTTTTTTTTTTCTTCTTCTTCTTCTTCTTCTTGTACCTTTATTAACCCGAACATTTATCTATTCATCCCTCTCAATGAATACATCGCATACTGTTTTTCGCCGTGACACCAGTAATCATCAGAACAAGAACGCCTTAATTTCGGATATTTCCCAATTTCAACATTTTCCACTGTGTTACATGACATTCGGCATTTCTTGCAGTTTAAAAATATTGCAATCTTTTAAAATTGGCATAATAATAAAGCTCGGCATTTTTGTTTATTTGTACGCTTATCAAATAAGTAAACAATAAAATTCGTAACGTTGCACAAAATTTACTTTTTGAATCTTGGTACTATTAATCGAGATAACAGGAGAAAGCTTCACCCAGTGTGCAACATGTAACAATATTATTTTACAATACTAGATCATTCCGCTAGTACATGTTATGATTATAATCCAACAACACTTTTATTATTTTTACTATTTTTATTATTTTTATTATAATAAGTGGTGTTGGATTATAGTCATAACATGTACTAAAGGAATGATCTGGTATTGGAAAAAATATTTTTTTTTTTATATATTGCACACCGGCGTGTAACATCGACGGTTCCCCCTGTTCATTGAGAGATGTTCAAAGTAAATTTCGTGTAACGTTATGATAATAAACAGACATCTCTATTATTTACCGTGAAGATATCAAAATTTGGTTTAGATCTTTAACATTTTGCTGAAAGTTTTATTTTAAAATGGGTTATTCCATTATTTTATTACCATTTATTACCATCATTTTATTATCATTTATTACCATTATTTTTTTGCCATTTATTACTATTATTTTATTATCATTCATTTCATTATCTTATTACTATATTGCGCCATCTGCATAAGCCCGAAATATGCATTAGAAGCTCTATACTTTATTTAAGCTGATGCATATTAATATATTGTTATATCCTACGAATAATATAGTTGCATCTACTGTGATTTACGTAGTGCTTGCAGTTACGTATTAGATTGTCAAATAAATGATTTTTTTATGCTTTATATGATTTTCACCAATAATATTAAATCGGAGACGAAAAAGGAGAACCTGTAAATCATTTCATGTCACTCAAATATGAAGTTACTATACTGTTATTCTATCATTGATTTTTTGACTTTTAAGTAGTTAAATTTGTTTGAATTTAAAACAAGCAATTCAATTTCTTTTTTTGTTATTATATTATTTATTGTTTATTGGTGAATTTCAAAGAATTCTAGAAATCTTGCATAAGTGTCCATTCCTCTTTTGTCACACTAAAATATTCATTTATCCGTTCTGTATTTCGGATTTAAATTCTAAGGTATCAATATAACAAACAAAATTGATACATGACCTAAATTCTTTATGCAAATTCTTTATGAAAATTTAATATTCGCATGAAGAGAATAATCTGAAACTAATATACATGTACGTTCATGGTATCTCGTAAAATAATATAATATAGAACCCCTACAATAAATCAATTGATTTTATTAATGAGATTGCCTATACTATATTAGATAGTATGCTAAATTGCAATTAAAATTTTAAATATCTGTCATTCACCGTGGCTAATAAATTACACGACCTAATCATTAATAAAATGGTAAGACAATCTAGCTATCTAGTTTACGCGTACTCATATATTGTTAGTCCAAATTATAAACCTCACACGTCCTACATTGTAGATGTTCTGCGTCATTTTTCAATTTATGTCAATTAGTAATCGACATGTTGTCATCCGTAAATTAAGAAATAACATGTAATTTTAAAAACGGTCACAAGTAAAAAAATTATTTTTAACTAAGTAATTTCTGGTACAAATTATAACTTATTTACTATACGTTCACTAGGCAATATATACATTTAAACATATTGACTAAATATATATTAAATTACATAAATTACCTAGTAAATATATAGTAAATAAGTTATAATTTGTACTGGAAATTACTGTTCATAGATTAATAAAAAATTTCATAACAAAATAAATAACCAAATAAAGTGAAAAAAAATTTAATAAAAAAAATGAAATACAATTAAATAAAAGCGAAATAAATTATTACATGTTGTCTAAGTGCCCAATACAGACTAAATTTTATACATCCGCATTTCAATTATTTGTTCGGCAAAAGCAGAATTTAGTGACGTGGTTTTTTTTATTAAAAAAATCAGGAATCTGGACGATTGATTTAGTTTGAACTAGTATTATCATTATTATGAATTAGAAAGTTATGTAATTGATACGTATTTAAAAATTGTTTCAAGTTCAAATATTTTTTTTTAATGCTTGCTCGAGCGCTTGAATATTGTTTTGACTAGGTGATTTTTCTTGGCCTCAGTGTTCAGTCACTTGATGTATTACACAAATTATTTTATATAAATTTTTCAATGGAACAAATAATTTTCCTAATTTAAATACTGCCACGCAAATTTAATTTCGTGGCTTTCATAAAATGGAAATTTTAAACAGGCTCGGCCTTACGGTTTTTTTTTAAAAGAAATTTCATATATAAAAGTTTTATAATATTTCTAAATCCTTAAAGATATATATAGAGCACTATAATCATTATACCCTATGACGTGATAATATATGTAAATAATAATAAAAAATAAAACATAAAAAAAAATTATATACAACAACACAACTATAATAATTTTGAACAATAAATTCAAGCAAAGACTTGAAAGAATTTGTAATATATAAAAATAACAATTAAAATAAATAAATATTCTTATTTACAAGATGTTAAATATAGCATTAACATAATGTATAAAAGTAATTAAGCAACTGATTATACTAAAATTCAGTTTACTATTCAAACTAGCTGTAAACCATACACTATTATGCCAGCATGATGTTGCTGGCACAACTGGTCTAACAAATCCTAGAGCAAATTTTGATTCATATTCTAATATTGATTATCCTTTTATAATTATGATAATTGCTTAACCTCATTACAATATTGATAAGTTACAACGGATTATACTAGTAATGTATATTAAAAAGTGCGTTTTTTCAACAATGTATAATAATATTCGCCATTTTCATTCATTAAATACACATATCGTGCCTGAAATTAGTATAAGCTTGAAGGTATAATAAGCGCCTGAAGTTAAATGTGCCGAAAATTATTACTAATGCATGCAAAATGATTAATTTCAGGGGTAATTTAATAAGTGCAAAAATCATCTAATTTATAAAATTTGCCAGGATAAGATTTTTAAAAAATATATAAACATTAAATTTTTTTATTAAAATTTTAAAATATAAATTACGTAATTATATAACATATAGATTTTTAAAATCTTAATAAAAATTCTAATAATTTTAAATATTTTTAAAATTTTATATGACTAAAACTTCTAGATGTTAACGGTAATGGTGGTTTTTAATATTCAATTGTTGCACAAGGCAAATTTATCTGATAACAATTCTCCAATATCAATTAAAAATATTAAATCCCACGAGGCTAATATTTAACGGGCGTAACTATAATGAGATACCAATAAGCTATTTTTGTTTGCTACAAACGAAGTGAGACACAAACATTTGTTTGTAAATAGAAATGAAAGATACAATTCAATGAACAAAACAAGATTTTTGTGTCACTTTCCTAGTTAACCGAAAACTATATGCTATAAGTTACATTGTAATAATAAAACTATCTTGGTGTACTAATTTATCAAATGCAAAACAACAAATGATTGATACGTTGCATACATTAATATCTAATACTATAAAAAGAGCCCTTTATCTTTGAAAAAACTGTAGTAACTGGTTGGTCAAGTCATACCATGATTTCCCTTCACTCCGTTCCCTTTTTATTAATCCTTACTATCATTTTGTTTCTAACCATAACTAACTCTCATCAAAATGAAGACCAAATTAATCTCGACAAACGGGGTGTAAAACAATATATACATCAAAACCATCGTAAGCATCGTAAGCACAAGTATCACCCAATCCATCATAATAAACCCCATCGTTTAAAATATTACGATGATTTTAAACACTTCGAAAATCATGAAGATACCAAACACTTCGAAAACCATAAAGATACCAAACACTTAGAAAATCCTAAAGATACCAAACAATTCGAAAAAGCTAAAGAAGCCAAACCCTTCGAAAATCATAAAGATACTAAAAACTTAGAACATTTTAATGATCATAAATATCAAGAATATCCTAATCATTATGATCATAAATATCAAGAATATCCTAATCATCATAATAATTTTGAACATCCTAATGGCCATAATAACTTCGAACATCCTAATTATCATAATAATTTCGAACATCCTAATGATCATAATAACTTCGAACATCCTAATGGTCATAATAACTTCGAACATCCTAATGATCATAATAGCTTCGAACATCCTAATAATCATAATAACTTTGAACATCCAAATGATGGTAAATTCTTGGAACATCCAAATAATCCTAAACCAATTGTGCCTCCAAAGCAACCTGAACATAAAACCACTAAATGTTCTAAAACCACAAAATATTCGGCAACTACCAATAATAACCAGCAAACATCTATTACCACCAACCAGGAGCCTATTACTACTAAAAAATTTACAACTACATGTACAAAAAATACTAACCAAAAGTCCGAAACCACTAATAAACATGTAAATACCCAAACTACTCATCGAAAGTCAGATACCACAAATACTACGACTACAAAGAAAAAGTGCTCAACAACAAACAAACCGACTACTACAACAGCTACCACCAATACTACGACTACAAAGAAAAAGTTCTCTACCACAAAAAAACCGACTACTACAACAGCTACCACCCATACTACGACTACAAAGCAAAAGTGCTCTACCACAAAACAAACAACTACTACAACAGCTACCACCAATACTAAGACTAAAAACCAAAAGTGCACCACCACAAAACAAACAACTACTTTAACAGCTACCACCACTGGAATAACTACTATAGCGACCACATCAAAGGAATGCACAGTTAGTACCACCACTGGAATAACTACTATAGCGACCACATCAAAGGAATGCACAGTTAGTACCACCACTACTGGACAAGGATCTACAGCAAGTACCAGCGCCACTACGACTGCACCAGCCACCACCACTGAACAAGCAACGACCGCAGAAGCAACCACCACTGAACAAGCAACAACAGTAGAAGCAACCACTACTGAACAAGCAACAACAGTAGAAGCAACCACCACTGAACAAGCAACGACCGCAGAAGCATCCACCACTGCACAAGCAACAACAGTAGAAGCAACCACTACTGAACAAGCAACGACCGCAGAATCTACCACCACTGAACAAGCAACAACAGTAGAAGCTACCACCACTGAACAAGCAACAACTGCAGAAGCTACAACTACTGAACAAGCAACAACAGTAGAAGCTACAACCACTGAACAAGCCACAACAGTTGAAGCTACCACTACTGAACAAGCAACAACAGTAGAAGCTACCACTACTGAACAAGCAACA